ACCAAGGGACTGAGTATAGACAGAGGAGAGAAGGGGACCAAGCACTGAGTCCCGAGATGCCCCACCACGTAGAGACCGACCGGGGAGATGGGAGCGAACAGCATCAGCCACGGATGAGGACCAGCCAGTGAGTGAGGAGGAAGACCGGGAGGGTGTAGTGTCCCAGAGGCCAAGCAGAGAACCCCTTCGAAGGAACGGGGAGTGATCGGCTTGTTCAACGCTGCTGATAACTCAAGTAAGAGGAACCCTAAAGGGATGGCCACTGGGTTCAGCACCATGGAAGTAATTGGTGCCCTGAACAGGGACACAGTTGGCAGAGCGGTTGGAGGGGGGGGGGCGTTGGGGGGAGGCTTAAGAAAGAACAAAAGAAGAGAATTTGCAGCCAGTGAGTGTAGCCAACTCTTTAGAGAAGATTTGCAGTGCAAGGGAGTAAAAATTCGGCCAGGAGAGCATGAAGGTTGGAGAGGTTTTTATTTTATATATATATATAAATTATATATATATATATATATATATATATATATATATATATATATATATATATAATTTTAGAGAGATAGGAGAGAGAGGAGAAACATTGATTGGTTGCCTCCCATACACGCCCTGACCGGGAATGGAACTGAAGCCCCTTTGGGACACTGGATGATGCTCAACCAGCTGAACCACATCACCCAGGGCGTTTGGAGAGGTTTTGAAAAATTATTTTAATGGAACATGGGAGAAATGGTAGCATGTCTGTATGTTAGCGGGACAGCTCACTGGTGGGGGGAAGAATTGATGATGTAAACAAGGGAAGAGAGACGTGCTGGCTGGGACGATGTCTTCAAGAAGATGAGAGGGGACGGGAGACTGGGCACAAACGGAGGGGTCTGTCTTCGATGGAGGTGCAGACTGTTCCTCTGTAGACACAGGAGAGGAGGCAGAGGATGTGGGCACGCAGGCAGGTAGGTGGCAAGGCTGACCTTGCTAGCGTTTGCTATTCCGATGGGTGAAAAGTGACGTTGTCGCCACCCAGGAACGATGTTGACTAGGGCCAACGCCTGTGACCCTGGGATCCAGCTCTAACAAATGAATGTATGGCTCTTGACTCCTGGCACATCTCAAGTCTGGTTTTTCTGGGGACATCTCTCTCTCTCTCTCTCTCTCTCTCTCTCTCTCTCTCTCTCTCTCTCTCTCTCCTATGTCTTTGTGCCTTTGTCTCTCCCTCCCTTATGTCTTTGTGCCTTTGTCTCTCTCTCTCTCTCTCCCTCTGCATTTCCCGACCTCTCCCACCCACTTTGTCTGTCTGTCTCGGTGTATTTATCCCTTTGTCTTTCTTGTATCAGGGCCTCTCCTCTGGGCCTGGTTATGGGGCCAACTTTCTCGCCCCAATCAGCACTTCCAACCAGAACTTCCAGTTCGTGCCTCACAAAGAACCCCATGTTGAAGCCAAGCCAGGGTGGGGCTTCCAGGAACCTCATCTGCCTCCATCTCCTCCAGCTTTACCTATTTAACAAGCACCTGTGTGGCCCTAGGTCCCTATTAGGCGCTTGTGCAAGCACCTTCCAATATTAACTCATTTAACCCTCCTCTGTGAGGTAGGCGCTGTGGATGGTGCCATTGTACACTGAGGCACAGAAGGTCCTTGTTGCTTGAACTCCAGAGTCGCAGCCCTAAGCCACCAGGAACCCTGCCTCCTTTTCTCCTCTTTCTTTCCCCGGCCCTACTCTCAGAAGCGGGGAAGACCCTGACCTGTGAGACAGTACACCTGGACTTGGTCCAGTTGATGTGTAACCCACCGTGGGCTCCAGTTGCCTTATCAGTCAAGGGAGGGGGTGGAATGCACCCAACCCTCAGTGGGTCCATGACCTCACGTCAACACGAGCCAGCCAGCCTCGGTCCTGGCCAATCATAAGCTCGACTATCAACATTGACCTCGTACTCACCCCTCAGAAGATGCCACCCCAGCCACCCCCTCTCCAGGTTCCTTCCAGCCCTTCCTAGGTGAGAAAGGGCCCTTCCGAGATAAGAAAGGTTTTTTGTTGGATGCGTGGACCCAGCCACAAGAGGGCACAGGTACCCTGACTTCCCACACGAGCCCAGCACCTCACGTAACCCGGCATCCTCCCTCCTGCCACCCAGACTGAACCCAGCTCTCCTGGGAAAGCATCAATGCAGTATCCTCTCCGGCCTCAACCCTATGGAGTGGGGGAATTCCAAGAGACGGAAGGACAATTGCTTTTCTGTCACCCGGAGAGGAGTTCACAGCTATGTCCCAGCCCACTCCCACCAAAACCCTACCTCAACATAGATGCTCAAGCTCAGTCTTCATCATCCATGGCAATCCATACATAACACCAACTCAAACGCATTTCAACACCTCCCCATGCAAAACTTCAGTTTCCGCCCCATCCCCAGTCCCAGCCCAACAGGAGGACTCCATCAACAGCCTTATGGCCAGAAACCTCCCAACCACAGCTCAATCCTCTCCCCTACACTGTAGGGCCTACACCAGTGGTCGGCAAACCGCGGCTCGCGATCCACAATGCGGCTCTTTGGCCCCTTGCATGTGGCTCTTTCACAAAACTGTGGAGGAACACGGAGACATTGAGTAGGCAGTTGGGTGCTAAGCCCCGCGTTCTAGAGCGGGCGCGCGCGTACAGTGCGACTGAAACTTCCGTGGCCCACGCGCAGAAGTCGGTTTTCGGCCTGGGCGGGTCTATTTTGAAGAAGTGGCGGTGGAAGAAGTGGGGGGTGGACAGACAGAGAGGATGAACGAAAGGAGATGGACGACGAAACAAGTCTACGAGACGAGTGTGGATGGGAGAGTCGGAAGGGGTCGACCTCAGCGAACGTACCTCAATCAGATTGAGGACGTCTTTAGCAAAGGCCAGCGTAGGAGCACCCTAACGAAGTTAATAACAATGTACCTACCTATATAGTTTAAGTTTAAAAAATTGGGCTCTCAAAAGAAATTTCAGTCGTTGTCCTGTTGATATTTGGCTCTGTTGACGAATGAGCTTGCCGACCACTGCCCTACACCAACTCCCCTGCGTCATCTTCACCACACGTCCATCCTTCTCCCCAAATTCACTTGCATTCCCAGGGCTGTCATCAGACCCATCCTAAACATGGCCAAGAACTTTTCTCCCTGGTGTAAGGAAACATTACGAACGACATTGATACTGTGAAGGCGATGGGTGACGTCAATGGAACACTAGAAGGGCCAACTGATTTTGGGGGTCTCTGCTTCTTTTACTGTCTTGGAGCTGCTTTACAACTCGGTAAATTATGGACAGCTGATAGCAATGCAAATAACTCTTGTCCGTAACCACGCAAATGAGTCTTACCAGGTAGAAGTGCAATTACCTTCTCCCCACCATGTGGGCTAAGACAGCTTATGTCTATTTATAAATTCATTTCAGCATTCCTTATTGCCTATGGTTCTTTGTAACATCTTGATAGTTTTGTCACTTATTAATGAATCAAAATTTTAGACATATGTTCAATTTATATATGTAGGAGAGTCATGGTTAGATCTTTCTGAAAAAATTCTATTTTAGCCCTGGCCGGTTTGGCTCAGTGGATAGAGCCTCGGCCTGCGGACTGAAGGGTTCCAGGTTCGATTCTGGCCAAGGGCACATGCCAGGGTTGTGGGCTTGATCCCCAGTAGGGGCGTGCAGGAGGCAGCCGATCAATGATTCTCTCTCATCATTGATGTTTCTATCTCTCTCTCCCTCTCCTTTCCTTTCTGAAATCAATAAAGAAATACATATATTTTAAAAAATTATATTTTAAACCCTGGCCAGGTAGCTCAGTTGGTTAGAGGATTGTCACTATACGCCAAGGTTGTGGGTTCAATCCCTGGTCAGGGCACACACAATGAATGCAAGAATAAGTGGAGCAGCAAATCAATCTCTCTCTCTCTCTCTCTCTCTCTCTCTCTCTCTCTCTCGCTGTCTTCCTTCCCTTCTCTCTCTAAAATCAACAAATAAAAATTTTTAAAAGACACTACATTTGATCCCTATACCCAAATTTAAACTTTCCCCAATATGGCAGCACCAGTTTTGATGTTAGCACTCATTGAGTCTGGCTCAACCCCTTACCCTTATCCTGACACCAGGACCCTCCCCAGACTTCATCTGGCCCCCATCCCTGGCTTCCTTCCAAATGCTGACCCCACCTCGGTTCTCCCTAATCCCTAATCCTGCCTCCTCCACCCCCTAGAATTAACTCACAGCCCCACCCAGCCACAATTCCAGCAGACTCCTACTCATTCCCCAAACAGCCTCTTCCTCCTTCCTCTTCCCTCAGCCCAGCCCCCAGAGCGCTTCCCTCTCCGCGGCCTCCATGCCCGTGGACTCCCTGACCCCGACTGACCCTGCTCCCAAAGGGCCACTGAGCCAAAAGATTGCTTCCCCAGACCCAATCCCGGCCCCCACCCTCATTTAAGGACAGTGGACTATCCATCGCCCACCTGAAGAATGAATTCCCTTGTTGTGCCTGAGGGTTGGGGGTGGGGGTGGGAAGGGCAGCCGGTAGAATACGCTTAGGCATCCCTGTGTTTGGGGGGAGGGAAAGGGCTGGAGATGGAGCTGGGGATAGCGTCCGGGCCAAGAACTGAAATCTAGATGCCTTGTTTTGTGATGTTGAGAGATAATTTTGAGATAAAGCTACGATGGCACTGGTTTGAGGGCTAGGCCAGGGGCTGGGTTCTGGTTGCAATTAGGCCGGGAAATGGGAATAGGGTGGAAATAGCCTTCTAGGAGCTGATGTATCTGGAGAGGGTACGCAGGGCTGGCGTGGAGGTTGGGACGCCAGCTATGCGACCAGGAAGGGTCATGGGGATGTGGGGTGGGTTTGGGGAAGGAAGTGATGGGCTTTCTCCTTCCGCCTAGGTGGGTCCTGCCACCTCAGAGTTCACTGTGGGTTCAACTGGGGCTTGGGAGGAGCCAAATCTGGGTCCCAGCTTGTCCCGAAAGCTCCGCCCCAAGCAGAGGGCCAAGCCCAGGCTGGGGGGTGCCTGGCACAGCCTGCTGAGCCATCGGGGGTGGAGAGGGGTAGGCCAGCGACCGGGAAATGCTGAGGGCGCTGGGGGAGGGTGTCAGGGGTTAAAAGGCATGGGTCGGGGCTGAAGTTGGAGGCAGCTGGCTGCAGAAGCTCTCCACCGGGGCCCCTCACCCAGGTAAGTGGCTTGCGCCTGGGGCCGGGGCTGGAGCTTTGGAGGGGAGGGGGGGGGGGGGGCGATGGAAGGGGAAAGAGGGAGCATCGCTGAGTCAGGGAGATGGAGAGAGAGACCTGAGGCTCAGTGAGAGATAGAAATCTTCAGAGATGGAGAGCTGCAGCTGCAGGGAGATAAGCTCAGATTGAGACCAGGTGCGGGAACAGCCCTGGGAGGGGAGGCCGGCCCCGGGGCCGGAGGGGCCGGAGCGTGCACCGAGGGCCCAGCTTGCAAGGCAGGGTGGAGGGACTAGCTGCCTGGGTCGAGGACTAGCCAGCCAGTGCCCTAGGGTGCACGCCTCCCCTCCGCACCCCCACCCCCCCACCCCCCGCCCCCGATGAATTTGGGGAGGACGTGGGCCGGGGTTCTCAAGAGTGTGCAGGCAGATTGACAACTGGGAAGTTCAGGGGTCAGAGACGGGGATTCCGGCCAGCCCATAACGCCTCCCTTCCAAATTCTCAGGCCCGTCCCGCCCTCCCTGCCCCCCACCCAGGCGCTGCCATGTGGCCCCTGGCCTCTGCGATTGCCTTCCTGACCACGGCCTTGTCCTCGTCAAGCGGTAAGAATGGCGGGGGTGGAGGCGGGGTGGCCACCGCAGACAATGGTAGGCGGGGCCAGGCCGCGGGAGGGGGCGGGGAAGCCGCGAGCTCCGCCCCCCGCCCCCCGCCCCCCCCCCCGCCCACTCCGGGCAGGGTCCCCTGGGGACGGTCCCGAAAACTTCCTGCTTATCCCGGAGTGACCTGGTTTCCTGGCTGCGGTCAGCCCAGTGTCCACAGCAAGGCCCCCTCTTCTCTCCGACTCCGCGTTGAAAAGCCCCCCCCAGCCCCTCCCCCTGTTCCTGGCCTCCCCGAGGGAGAGGAGTCGCACCCACAGGGGTTCGAACCCTGCCGCTGCCGCTCTGAGCGAGTGGCTTCGCTTCTTCGTGCCTCGGTTGTTCCATCTGTACAATGGGGACGTACGGGGCTGGGCAACAGTAGGTTTACATAATGCAATCGTTAATAAATTAATTAATTAATAATAATAATAATAATACAAGCATAAACCCCGCGTTTCGCCTAGTACTCATAACTGTAAATGGGCTTTTTGCCCACAAAGGGTTGGTGCGAATATTAAAATGAAACCGGGTCACGCCCGTCTGTGCTTGCTGACTGCCTGGCAGATGGAAGGGAGGGGAGGTTGGTTAGTCGTCACTGTTACCTTCTTAATCGTGTTCTCAGAGCCTCCCGTTTCTTCCTTTCACCCTTGGGGTGACCCCAGACCTATCTGATTCTACCCATAGACAGTCCTCTCCCATGTAAGTCCTCCCCCCCCCCCCTCCCTGCCTTTGCCGGCAAGTTCTCTGAAAACCCCATTCAGGCATCATTCATGCGTTCAGATGATGTATTATAGACATGTAGCCCTGACAGCAACATCCTTTTATTCACCAACGGCACCCCAATAAATTCAGTAATAATTCTTTTTTTTTTTAATATCTGTTTTTTCCTTCTTTTTTTTTTATTATTAGTTAAGGTATTACAAATGTGTCCTCATTCCCCCCCCATTAACCCCAACCTCCCCCCCCCCGCCGCCCCGCACACTCATGCTCCCATCCCCCTGTTGTCCTTTTATTCACCAATGGCACCCCAATAAATTCAGTAATAATTCCTTTTTTTAAAAAAAAACCTCACAGCTCTGCAATCCAGACGGGGTCCCTGCTCTTAGCACGCAGACCTCGTTCCAACAATTCCCCAAATAATGAGTTAATCATCAGCTGTAATTGTTGCAGGAGGGGATGGCTTTAAAGAACCAAAGCAGGACGCCTCCCTCCCCCAAGGACTAGACCAGGGGTCCTCAAACTACGGCCCACGGGCCACATGCAAATACAAATATTGTATTTGTTCCCGTTTTGTTTTTTTTACTTCAAAATAAGATATGTGCAGTGTTCATAGGAATTTGTTCATAGTTTTTTTTTTAAACTATAGTCCGGCCCTCCAACGGTCTGAGGGACAGGGAACTGGCCCCCTGTTTAAAAAGTTTGAGGACCCCTGGATTAGACCCTAGAGCTGAGACCCAATGGAGGGAGGGGGCCACGGGGCACCGGGTACCGGGCACCAGCCCTGGCCTGGAGGTGGGGTGCCTCGTCTCCTTTGGCGACACTCCCAGGACTCCTGCCAGGTCCCTCCTGGGCACCACGCCCTGGGCTAGGAACTCCACATGCATTGGCTTGTGGAGCCCTCAACAGTCTTAGGAGGTACCTGAACTGTAATTACTCCAGTTTCACAGCTGAAAAAGCCAAGCCTCTGACAGGAGAGCCCGGCCAGACAGCAGCGCCCCTGAGTCAGGGCTCTGATCCACACCTGCCCCGTCCCGTCCCCCACGTCCTGGCACCCATCTTCATTATTTTAGGCCCCAATGACCTGCTTAGAATCTTTTTCTTTTTTTTTTTTTTTTAGTATTTTTGGTGTTTATTTGTTTTTAATATATTTTATTGATTTTTTAAAATATATGTTTTATTGATTTTTTTACAGAGAGGGAGAGGGATAGGGAATTAGAAACATCGATGAGAGAGAAGCATCGATCAGCTGCCTCCTGCACACCTCCTACTGGGGATGTACCTGCAACCAAGGTACACACCCTTGACTGGAATCGAACCTGGGACCTTTCAGTCCACAGGCCGACGCTCTATCCGCTGAGCCAAAGCAGTTAGAGCTCATCTCAGTTTGTCGATCATCATCCCATGCGCAGAGAGGTCTTGGGTTCGATTCCTGGTCAGGGCACATGCCGGAGTTGTGGGCTCGATGCCCAGTAGAGGGCATGCAGGAGGCAGCCAATGGATGTTTCTCTCTCTCCCCCTCTCCCTTCCTCCCTCTAAAAATCCATGTGAAGATCTGAATTGGAAGAGAACCGGACAGTGACCGTGTCTGAGGATACAATCTGATGTTGCTTATGCCTCATCCCTGTGCCCCCCCAAAATGACCTTGCGCCCACCAATGACTTCTGTCCCCAACTTTGAGAACCACTGGGCTAATCCTGCCGCTTATGTAGGTGGGGAAGGGGCCTGCTGGCCACACAGCTGGGGCCCTCCTGGTGCAGCTAATAATAGCAACATAGCAATAGTAGCCACCTGCTGAGGGCTGTGTGTGTCGTAGGTGTAGGATTTTACCGAATCCTATGGCTGCCCCATGAGATGGAACCGTTCCCTCTCCCACGGGATCGCTGAGAAGACAGAGGCTGGCAGCCTGTGACGGGATCCCCAGCCAAAAATCGGCCCATTCAGAACTGGGCTTTCTCTGTTCCATTGTCAACGGCTGTGTCCTGGGCCAGATACAGGGCCAGGCACACAGGACATTGGCTGAGCACCTACTGTGTGTCAGAGACTACGCTAGGTCTGTCTCCCTCCTATATCTGCAGTGTCCAGTAGGGTGGCCACTGGCCACTTGCAGGTTTTTGAGCATTTCAAATATGACTGGTGTGGCTGAAGAGGTGAATTTTTATTTTTTACTTGATTAATTCTCATTTGAGCATAGTTTTTCCATTGATTGTTTTAGAGAGTGGAAGAAAGGGGGGGGAGGGGAGAGAGAGTGAGAGAGAGAGAGAGAGAGAGAGAGAGAGAGAGAGAGAGAGAGAGAGAGAGACATCGACGTGAGAGACACATTGGTTGGTTCCCTCCCACACATGCCCCAACTGGGGCCTGGGATCGACCTGCAATCCAGGTGTGTGCCTTTGACGGGAATTGAACCTGCCACCCTTCAGTCCAGGGCCGGTACTTTACCACTGGGCCACACTGGCCAGGGCAAGAACTGAATTTTTAAGTTTCGTTTTGAGGAGTCTAAATTTAGCCACACCAGCTAGTGCTACCATATTGAACAGTGCAGGTCTGGAGAAAGAACTGTCGAGAAAGAGGAAGCAGCAAGTGCAAAGGCCCTGGTCAGTTTGAGAACAGATCCTTGAAACTGGAACAGAATGAGTGAAGAGGAGAGAGGCTAGGGGTGGGGTCGAGGAGATTAACAAAGGTCAGATGATTCAGAATCCTGCAAACTTTGAACTGAGTAGTAGTTAGCCTATGGATGGTATTTGAAGCCATAGAGTAACCCAGTAAATAAGGTGTTAAAAAGATGGATACATGGATGGACAGATGAGTGGATGGACGATGGATGGATGGATGGATGGATGGATGGATGGATGGATGGACGGATGCTTGGATAGACAGATGGGTGGATGGATAAAGGATGGAGGGATGGATGGACAGATGGATGGATGGGTGGATGGATGGATGGATGGATGGATGGATGGATGAATTAAGGGATGAATGGATGGATGGATGAACAATGGATGGGTAGATAGATGCATGGATGGACAGATGGGTAGATAAATGGATGGATGGGCGGATGGAGGAATGGATGATGGATGGATGAAGGGATGGATGAATGGATAGATAGACAGATGGATGGATAGACAGATGGATGGATGGATGGATGAAGGGATGAAGGGATGGATGGAAGAAGGGATGGATGGATGGATGGATGATAGATGGATGAAGGGATGGATGATAGATGGATGAAGGGATGGATGGATGCTGCCTAGGTGGTTGTGGAGGTCCATCTCGCTTCTACCTCTTGAGACCCATCCCCGTGGTGGAATGAGAGAGAAAATGGAGGTGGGGAGAAAGCTTATCGGAAACATCTTCATTCAGTGAACTCTTCCTTCCTCCCCCCAGTGGAGGATAGGACACTTCTGTGGAAAAGGACATTGTCATCTCTTTGCCCTGACTCCTCTGCTCCGTTGAAAATGGCAACTCCCAGAGCCCAAGAGATGAATCATCAGTTCCTGGTCACCAAGAGCCAGTTCTGACCCTCTCCCCAAACTCAAGAACTACACCTTCAGGCCTCCTCTGCCTGAACCCCGACTCTCTTCTCTAACATTTTCTCTCCTTTACCAGGCGTCTCTCAGGACTATCCCAAGATTATCAACAGCACCAATGGGACCAATGGGTTTCTCCCAGGTGGCTACACCTGCCCTCCCCACTCTCAGCCCTGGCAGGCAGCCCTGCTGGTTCAGGGGCGGCTGCTCTGCGGGGCAGTCCTCGTCCACCCCCGCTGGGTCCTGACTGCAGCGCACTGTCTGAAGGAGTACGTGGGGGGGCTGGGGGAGCATGGGGTAGGGGTGCTAATGGGACTGGGTGGAGTTTGCATTTGAGGATGAGGTTTGGGTGGAGTTAGGGGGTGGGGGATGGGAATGGACTTGAAGAAGAGGATTTGGATGGGATTGGAGTTGATGTGGAAGGAGATGGGGAAGGTGTGATGGAGCTGGGAGGGGGGTAGGGAGGGGCCCATCTTCTCCTCTAACCACCCTGTTGCTGCACCCACAGTGGATACAGAGTGTCCCTGGGCAAGCATACCCTGGAGCACGAGGAGGCTGGAGAGCAGGTGCGGGACGTCGCCCGCTCCATTCCCCACCCTCTGTACCGGAGCAGCCCCACTCACCTGAACCACGACCACGACATCATGCTGCTGGAGCTGCAGTCGCCCGTCCGCCTCTCGAGCCACATCCGCGTCCTGCCTCTCTCCCACAGCGACTGCCTCCCGGCTGGCACCTGCTGCCGCGTGTCTGGCTGGGGCACCACCATCAGCCCCCGGGGTATGTGCCCACACAGCTGGTCTCACAGGGTGGCCGGGGAGACGAGGGCAGAGGCGGGAGAGTAGGTTGGAGGAGGATTCATTTTATTTTTTTAATTTGCTGAATTTTAGAGAGAAAGAAGAGAGAGAGAAAGATTGATTTTGTTGTTCCTCTTATTGATGCATTCGTTGGTTGCTTCTTGTATGTGCCCTGACTGGAGATCGAACCCACAACCTTGGCGTATTGGGAGGATGCTCTAACCAACTGAGCTACCTGGCCACAGCGAGATTCCTTTATATATAAAAATGAAAGTAAAAAATATATAGTTCTAAAGAAACAAGGAAAATATGTAGTTACATATGTATATTACATATAACATAATGTATACAGTTATATATATCTTTTACATAAATATCCTACCTAATAAAGAGGGAATATGTTAATTGACCCTCATGCAGCCGCCCACAGCCAATAAGGAGGGAATATGCTAATTGACTGCCCCACCCTCAAATATGGTGGCACCCACAGCCAATAAGGAGGAAATATGCTAATTGACTACCACGCCCTCAAAGATGACGGCACCCACAGAGATACTATACAGTTATATGTCTTTATATACATTTATAAATATATACAATTTCATATATTCTTTTTTTTAAAGGATATCCTCAGCATAAAGACTTTTTAAAATATAATTTTTTTTATTGATTTTTTTACAGAGAGGAAGGGAGAGGGATAGAGAGTTAGAAACATCGATGAGAGAGAAACATCCATCAGCTGCCTCCTGCACACCTCCTACTGGGGATATGCCTGCAACCCAGGTACATGCCCTTGGCCGGAATCGAACCTGGGACCCTTCAGTCCGCAGGCCGACGCTCTATCCACTGAGCCAAACCAGTCAGGGCTACAATTTCATATATTCTACATATTATGTGCATATTTATAGAAATATACATTATATGCCTGGCTGGTGTGGCTCAGCGGTTGAGGGTCAGCCCATGTACCTACCAAGAGGTTGCTGGTTCGATTCCCAATCAGGGCACATGCTGGGGTTTTGGGCCTGATCCCCAGTAGGGGGCATGCAGGAGGCAGCTGATCAATGTTGATGTTTCTCTCATCGATGTTTCTACCTCTCCTTCTCCCTTCCTCTCTCTCTAAAAAAAAAACATTAAAAACATTTAAAAAAATAAAATACACATCTGTCTATAAATATGCAAATTATAAAAATTAGATTTTCTAAATTATAATTCTATATTTATGCATTTATTTAAATATATTTGTATATAAATTGTTTATTATGGTAGGTATATAGTTATTAAGTATAATAAAATGTAAACTGCTTTATCCTTTGTGTATAGATGTGATATATAAATGGGTATATACATATGTGTGCGAATATAAAGCTGATCTCCAGCGGCAGAGCCCTGTGCCACCCCCGCGCCCTCCCAGCTTCGATTCTGTGTCTTTCGGCCCAGCATGCCCCATCTCTCTTCCCACCCCTTCCCTCCTCTCCTGTAATTCTTGCCGCCTCTCCTGTGGTTTCCCCGTCTCCATTCCCTCTCACCTCCCCTGTCTTCCTAGCTCTCCCCACTCTCTCTGTCTTTACGCATCAGTTCCGTCTCCTCCTCTCCCTCCCCATCTGTGTCTCTTCACGCTCAGCTCCCTGACCCATCCCTCCCTCCACTTCCCTTTCCTGTTACCTCTCCCCCCATTTCTCCCCACATTTCTGTCTCTTCCATCACGTTCTCCCCCATCTCCCTCTTCCCATCTCTCTTTTCTGCCAGCTGTCCTCTTGAACTCCCGCCTCACAGCCTGTCCAAGACCGATATCCCCAGACCTTCTCTCTCTCTCCCCCCCAGTGAGTTTCCCACAAGCCTTACAGTGTGCCAACATCCAGCTACGCTCAGATGAGGAGTGCCGGCAAGCCTACCCGGGGAGGATCACACGCAACATGGTGTGTGCCGGCTCCCCCGAGGGCGGCAAGGACTCCTGTGAGGTGAGGCCGCGTGGGGCTGGGGTGGGGGGCTGCCATGGGCCAGGGTGGAAGCCAGAATGGAGGTGGGGACGGATGCTGGGGGGAAAGGATTTGCTTCTAGCCTAGGGGGAATTAGACTTTGTAAGGTGAGATGTCCCCTAGAATAGAAGGTTGAGACAAAAGGGAGCACCCGTGGATGGCGAATAGAATTCATCTTAAGCCCCAGCTGTGGCTGCCAGTGGCTGCCAGATGCTGATGTTGACATGCATAAAAGTTAGGATTCTAGCCCTAACGGGTTTGGCTCAGTGGGTAGAGCATCGGCCTGCGGACTGAAGGGTCCCAGGTTCGATTCTGGTCAAGGGCCTGTACCTTGGTTGCAGGCACATCCCCAGTACGGGGTGTGCAGGAAGCAGCTGATTGATGTGTCTCTCTCATTGATGTTTCTAATTCTCTATCCTTCTCTCTTCCTCTCTGTAAAAAAATCAATAATATATATATATATATAAAAGTTAGGATTCTATTGGTTGCAATTGACTAAAAAATTAAACAAACAAACCCAACTCAAACTGCTTTAAGAAAAACACTGGCTTTTATAACTGGAAAGCCCTGAGGACCCTGATTCAGGCACGGATGGATCCAGGCGCTCACGCAGTAGAGTTAAGACCCACGTAAACATCTTGAGCATGACGCTCGCGAGGCTGACTTAGGTCCTGTGTCCTAGAACGTCCACTGTGGCCAGAGCTGTGGGATTCTCTGATGGACCAAGTCAGGGCCACATGACTCACTGTGGGGGCTGGGAAGGGCAGGGACCAGGGGCACAGATTGAGAGTGGGGGGAGGGCCTCACTCCTAACATGAAAAAAAATCAGAAAGTTGTTAGCAAAATAAGGTAAAATGGATACTACACAGGCAAAATGACAGCTATGTGACATAGAGGAGGCTTCTTTTATATATATATATTTTTAATTGATTTCAGAGAGGAAGGGAGAGGGAGAGAGAGATAGAAACATCAATGATGAGAGAGAATCATTGATCAGCTGCCTCCTGCAGGCCCCACACTAGGGACTGAGCCCGCAACCCAGGCACGTGCCAAGACTGGGCATCGAACCCTGACCTCCCAGTTCATAGATCGATGCACAACCCCTGAGCCACGCGGGCCGGGCTAGAGGAGGCTTCTTAGGTTGCGGCTTGGTTCCGTGGGAAAGGGTGTGATGATGAATCAGTGGCGAGGGCCTTGTCGATAGTAATAACGTGTGTCCTGGGCCCGGGGGGAGAAGAAGCACACGTGTGTACAAGCCCCACCCAGATGGGGGTGGGTTAGCTCAGTAGTAAGATGGCGTGGAGACACCGTAAAGCAGGGGCAGGTTTGAGGGGGCAGGGGGTGCAGGGTGGGATTCGATGGCAGGGAAAGGAGAACGGGTATGTGGGGGGGCAAGCTTTCACCACTTTCGTGAGCCAGAGCAGCGGTTCTCAACCTGTGGGCCGCGACCCCTTGGGGGGTCGAACGACCCTTTCACAGGGGTCGCCTAAGACCATCGGAAAACACATGTATCATTACATATTGGTTTTGTGATTGATCACTAGGCTTTCATGATGTTCAATTTGTAACCATGAAATTGGGGGTCCCCACAACATGAGGAACTGGATTACGGGGTCGCCGCATCAGGAAGGTTGAGAACCGCTGAGCTAGAGGAACAAAAAACAAAAAAACGGAGAGACACAGAAATCTCCCCCGGCTCAGTGTCTATGTCTCTCACCAAGACAGGGGGGACCTGTCTCTCACTCTCTGTCCCTCTGAGTTTATCTTTGTTTGGGGTTTGTTTTTGCTTTTTCGTTTGCCTTTCTACCTGTTCCTCCCTGTCTCTGCTGCTCACTGTCTCCCCATAGTCCCCCGTCTCTCTCTCAGCCTCCATGTCCGTCTGGCCCCATCTTTCCCTCTCGCCCCACAAGGCCCCCTCTCTGCCTTTGTGTGGCCCCAACAAGGACCCCCCCCCTTTTCTGTCTCCCCCACTCAGGGCGACTCGGGAGGCCCCCTGGTCTGCAACGGAAGGCTCCACGGTATCATCTCCTGGGGAGACTTCCCCTGCGGGCAGCCCAACCGGCCCGGCGTCTACACCCGCGTCTCTCAATACATTTCATGGATCCAGGCAACCATCCGAGGGCAGAGACCCCAAGAGCAGGAATGGACGCAGGGCCCACAATAAAAGTCGGGTTGACTGACCCAGCTCCTCGCTCCCTCGGAGCCCTCCTTCCGCAGCCTGCCCAGCCCTCCCCGGCCCCTCCCAGGGCGCCCCACTTGAGCCGGCGATCCGTGTCCCCGGCGTGTCACACCCTGGGGGTGACATTCCGTGTTTCCAAAGCACTCGGTCCCCGTCGGCATCACGGTCTACCGGGTGTTGGATCCCTGAAACACCCCAGTCCCCCCGAGAGTCCCAACCCGGATCCGTTCCGGGTCTCCCAACTGGGTCAGCATCCACTTAGATCACCATCTAAATCAGCGGTTCTCAACCTGTGGGTCGCGACCCCTTTGGGAAGGTCGAGCGACCCTTTCACAGGGGTCGCCGAAGACCATCGGAAAACACATATATAATGACATATTGTTTTTGTGATGAATCACTATGCTTTCATGATGTTCAATTTGTCACCATGAAATTGGGGGTCCCCACAACATGAGGAACTGGATTCAAGGGCCGCGGCGTTAGGAAGGCTGGGAACCACTGCTCTAAATGTTCTGTCTGTGGAACACGTAGGTGCCTCCAGCCCATCCCAGTGATATTCCATGTCCCATGAATGTACCATTTTTGGAAATATTCTATACCCCTCCAGACACTTACTCATTGCCAATATTTTATTTTATACTAGAGGCCTGGTGCACAAAATTCGTGCACTCGGGGGGGGGGGCATGTCCCTCAGCATGGCCTATGCCCTCTTGCAGTCCGGGAGCCCTCGGGGGGGATGTCCGGATGCCACGGAGGTGGGAGAGGCTCCTACCACCACCAATGCACTTGCCAGCCATGAGCCCGGCTTCCAGCTGAGTGATGCTCCTCCTGTGGGAGTGCACTGACCACCAGGGGGCAGCTCCTGCATTGAGCGTCTGCCCCCTGGTGGTCAGTGTGCATCATAGCAACCGGTCGTTCCGCCATTCAGTTGATTTGCATATTAGCCTTTTATGATATAGGATTTTTCTGTGCTTTTAAAAAATAATTCTTTATTGTTGAAAGTATTACACAGGTCCCCTTTTTCCCCTCATTGACCCCCTCCAGTCCACCCCAGGCCTTCACCACCCTATTGTCTGTGTCCATAGGTTATGCATATAGCAGTGATGGCGAACCTATGGCACGGGTGTCAGAGGTGACACACGAACTCATTTTTTTTTTGGTTGATTTTTCTTTGTTAAATGGCATTTAAATATATAAAATAAATATAAAAAATATAAGTCTTTTGTTTTACTGTGGTTGCAAATATCAAAAAATTTCTATATGTGACACGGCACCAGAGTTAAGTTAGGGTTTTTCAAAATGCTGACACGCCGAGCTCAAAAGGTTCGCCATCCCTGGCCTATAGGCATACAAAGTCTTTTCCTTGCCAATATTTTAGATCCTTCTCTGTTTTGAACTCAAGAAGGTTCTAGACGCCCATGACATTTCATTCCAAAACATTCTCTTATGCCCACAAGTTACGGCGCGGTGCCCTTCTGAATGACATCACCGCTAACACTGGACCTCCTAACGGTTCGTTCTCACGTGGTTCTGGACCTCCCAAATGTCCCATCCCTGCCCGCCTCCCATGTTCTGTCAACATCTGACCCCCTGGCAATATTCCCTATCTCTCAATCCCCGAGCCCACTCTAGAATATAGAGTGATGGGGTTCAGTATCCCCAGGGGGTCTCCATGCCCGGACCCCACTGTCCATCGCAGATCCCGTCCGTCTGCCTCCTCCAGGGACACCCTCCTTGAATGCCCCCTGCTGTGGTCATTCCTTTGCCCATGACCCCAGCTCACAGTGGTCGAATGCTCGGGCCACCGGAGTCCCTGCTTTGAGCAAGTCCTGAAACTCCTCCCCCTCTCTTCTCCCCTGTGAAACAGGGCTCCTCCTCTTTCCTCACAGCATGGTTTTGAGGATAACTGCAGAGGACTTACCGCCTGTAAAATGTTACCTTGGGTGGCAACAGCTACCCCTTTGCCGAGTGTCCGGAAGGTGTTGCATTTATTTCTCTCTGCACACATTTGTTCAGCGCTGGCCCTGCATGTCGGGCAAATACAGCTTTGTTTACTTGCACGTCGGTGCCTAGCCTAAGCCAGGCACTTCTGTAGGCACGGGCGAATTAAACAGGCAGAAACTTCCACTCTTGTAGAGCTCACATTTTTTTGTTGGGAGACGCATGATAAAGAAGATGAATAAAAAAAGAGACGGTTAGGTGGCAAGAAAAAAAAAAAAGCAGGGTGAGCCCTAGCCAGTTTGGCTCAGTGGATAGAGCATAGGCCTGCGGACTGAAAGGTCCCGGGTTCGATTCCGGCCAAGGGCATATGCCTGGGTTGTGGGCTCGATCCCCAGTGGGGGGCGTGCAGGAGGCAGCTGATCAATGATTCATGATTGAATCTTCTATCTCTCCCTCTCCCTTCCTCTCTGATTAAAAAAAAATAATAAATTTTTTTTCAAAAAAGCAGGGTGGAAGGATAGAAAGTTATGATGGAGTGCATGGAGATATATATATATATATATATATATATATATTTGATTTCAGAGAGGAAGGGAGAGATAGAAACATCAATGATGAGAGAGAATCATTGATTGTCTGTCTCCTGCACGCCCCACACTGGGGATCGAGCCCGCAACCAAAATTGAACCCAGGACCCTTCAATCCGCAGGCCAACACTCGATCCACTGTGCCAAACCAGCCAGGGCTGGAGCTGCTATTTTAAATAGCGCGGTCTGGGAAGGAGACGTTGCACACCAAACAATATGCAAGCTGTTATGACAAATACTAAGAAAATCTACATTGAGAATGTAAATGCCAATGAACTGTTCACCTGGAATGTTTCTTTTGACATGCGAGTTCCTTCTTAAATTTTTTTTAAAAAGTTTTTATTGGTTTCAGAGAGGAAGGAAGAGGGAGAGAGAGAGAGAAACATCAATGATGACAGAGAATCATTGATCGGCTGCCTCCTGCACGCCCCACACTGGAGATCGAGCCCACAACCCGGGCATGTGCCCTGACTGGGAATGGAACCGTGACCTGGTTCCTAGGCTGACGCTCAACCACTGAGCCACACCGGCCATTAATTTTTTTTAATGGTAGGTGTTTTTGTTTTGTTTTCATTTTGAAATGTTTTTTTTTAAAATGGATTTTACAAGAAAAGAAACAAAGACGTTTGATTTTACAGAGAGAAGCACGCATTGTTCCACTTTCTTATTTCTTCGCTGGTTGATGCTTGTCTGTGCCCTGACCTGGGATGAAGCCCTCCATCTTGGCGTATCCGGGGGATGCCCTAACCAAGCGAGCAACCCAGCCAGGGTTTGTTTGTTTGCTTTTGTTTTTAGCAGAAAACATAGCAATTACTCCCCTCAACCTCAGTCTAGCGTAGTGACGGCGAACCTTTTGAGCTCGGCGTGTCAGCATTTTGAAAAACCCTAACTTAACTCTGGTGCCGTGTCACATAGAGAAATGTTTTGATCTCTGCAACCATCGTAAAACAAAGACTTACATTTTTGATATTTGTTTTATATATTTAAATGCCATTTAACGAAGAAAAATCAACCCAAAAAAATGAGTTCGCGTGTCACCTCTGACACGCGCGTCATAGGTTCGCCATCACTGGTCTAAGGGCTCATCTCAATTTTTTTTTTTAAAGCGAATAAACGCGATAACAAAAGAGACACAGTAACAGAGACAACGACAAGGATCTACAATAACAAAGATCATCGCAAAGGAGACAATAATAAAAACAGTAGCCGAGGATGCACAATAGAGATAAAGGCAAAAGACACACAGCAGTAAAAATAGCAGAGGATACACAATAGAGATAAAGGCAAAAGACACACAGCAGTAAAAATAGCAGAGGATACACAATAGAGATAAAGGCAAAAGACACACAGCAGTAAAAATAGCAGAGGATGCACAACAGAGATAAAGGCAAAAGACACACAGCAGTAAAAATAGCAGAGGATACACAATAGAGATAATGGCAAAAGATACACAGCAGTAAAAATAGCAGAGGATACACAATAGAGATAAAGGCAAAAGATACACAGTGATAAAGAGAACAGCTGTCCTGGCCAGGTCGCACAGGTGGCTGGTCCCCATGTGCCAACGTGGTAGGTTTAACCCGTTTACCGCCCCCCCCACACACACACACACACTCCATCAGGGCACATACCAGAGTCAAGCAGTGAATGCCCGACTGGAACAACAAGTCCTGTCTCTCCCTCCCTCTCGCTCAATCGATTTTTTAAAACAGCAGAAGGGAAGGGGGGTCCACGGGAATGAGATGAGGGGAACGAGGAGGCCCTTGCAGGGATCACCAGTTCAACTCCCCCCACTCGAGGAAGAGGACCCAGCTAAAGAGACACACAAACGTTCTTAAAGCAGAAGGTGCTGCCGAGGGCTCTCGGGAGATCACGGTGTTGACATGTGAGCGGCTCTGGGAAGAACACCGGGTTCCAAGTGAGGGCTCACTAAGTGGCAGGTGTCCTTGGCACTGTGGCTCCTCTTGATGTAATTGTTATGATGCGACGTCTCCATGGCTGCCAGGGCCAGAGCCAGTCCCTTGGGTGACAGCCAGGGGAGAGAGAGAGAGAGAGAGAGAGAGAGAGAGAGAGAGAGAGAGAGAGAAGAAGAAGAAGAAGAAGAAGAAGAAGAAGAAGAAGAAGAAGAAGAAGAAGAAGAAGAAGAAGAAGAAGAAGAAGAAAGGAGAGGAGAGAGAAGAAAGAGAGAGAGAGAGAAGAGAGAGAGAGAGAGAGAGAGAGAGAGAGAGAGAGAGAGAGAGAAAGAAGAAGAAGAAGAAGAAGAAGAAGAAGAAGAAGAAGAAGAAGAAGAAGAAGAAGAAGAAGGAGGAGGAGGAGAGGAGGAGGAGGAGGAGGAGGAGGAGGAGGAGGAGGAGGAGGA